ACTGAAGACATGCATCTATTACAAAGTGAGACCTGTAATAGCAAAGTGATCACCATATGACGTCAAGCTTTACGAAGAAAGATGATTGGTCAAGTTAAAATCAAAATAGGATTCATAGTCACAACACCAATCATAGTATTCATAGAAATTCTGTCAGTTTTCTGATATAAATTTTCTAAATTTTGCTTTACATCAGAAACAATAACTGTTGTTATGAAGTCTATTGTAAGAACGACATTATAATGGGTTGGTTGGTTGGTGGGATCTCCGATCCAGCTACCATACCCTCTAGCTATACAGGCGAGTAGCGTAGACGTTTTGGCTATAGTACGCACATTTTAGGGACCGCCACATATTTTGGATCTGGGGATATAACGACAGGGAAAGGCGGGAGTATAAAGGGAGTCTGGACCTCTCCCAGGAAATTTTGAAATAATAACTCTTGGAAACGCGATTTCTAGCGTTTTGAGAGACATCGAGGGCATATAAAGGGAATCAATTATGTGAAATTTTCAGTATTTTTTTGTAAAAATTCCTTGCCACTTACTAGTACGGCAGGTGCGTATATGCGTAAAGAACGCTGCGCGCCTGCTATAGCGCATAAAAATTGTTCTGTTATTTTTGAATAAAAAATAAAAAAAATATTTCTTTTTTAATTCTGTTTATTTATTTAAAAATTCTAGAATCTATTTTAAAATCTTTCTAATGTTTTTGTTCTTTTATATCCTACAAAATGTCAATCTCCATTCAAAAAGGCAGTGTGCGGGTGCTCTATTCACAGCTATTTCTTATCCTTAATTCTTTTGTGTAAGGAATTGTGATCGTCCCAGTTAAATGAGTGAGCAAACGCAGGAAAACCACGAAATAGAATCAAACTACATTCTAACAAACTGAGCGACTATTTAGAGACAAATTGTCCGTATCAATGAACCATAACGCAATCAAGATGAATAAAAAAATGGTATCATGTAATTCATCTTCACTGCGTTCTGGTATATTGGTACTGACAAATTGTCTCTAACTAGCCGCTATTTGTTAGTATTTAGTTTGATTTTATTCCATGGTTTTCCTGCGTTTGTTCTTCCTAATAATTATTTAAGTGATTGTTTTCTTTGTTTTAGTTTCACCTACTTTCCTGTAAACAATAAAAAAATTAATTATAATTAAATAATAAAATTTAATCCTTCATACAATAAAATCAAGCTGCCAATGGCAACATAACTCGGAGATTGCTGAGACAGAAGCCCCTAGGACTGCATTATAAAGCTCGACTAGGCGGCAGAGACACTCCTCTGCACGGAAGAAATCAGAGGCGGGAAGCGATTTTTCGAAGACAATGTCGACAATACCAAGTTAACTTTGAATTGCCGACGTTAGAGAAAGGTCGCCTCCCTAGTCGTTCTGTGGCAGATTTCAGAACCTACCAAGGTAAAATTGTCAAGTTTTACTGAACATCCAAAGAATGCAATCGGGGCAATATTTTGCCTGTAGTTGCGAGTGGCTTGGCACTTAAAAAAATATATGAAAACAGGAACATTGGTTGCTCCCTGTCGAGTTTGAACCACATTCCCATGATGCAAATCGTCCGAAAATTTTGACATTTGATGGCTAAACAGTATTTTAATGCAGAGGAGAGAATACTAGTACCCCGCAATGCATTGCGTTTCAGACTATATTATCGTTTTTATGTGACGTCATCACTTGTTTTTGTTCTTGGCCGAGTGAAGATCATAGGCGGGAAAGCATTTGTCAATTCCTTGTCGATTGTCGATTCTAGAGATAAACTCTCAAAGATTCTTCATTTGCTATACATTCATTGTATGAGTAAGGACAATTTTCAAGTATCGATAAAAGGAATTGTTTTTTAGAACTTAGACACCAGTTTTGTAGATAAATCGATAAGGAAATTGCATGTCGGAGAGCCGAGTTGCTTTGATTCCTGTCACTGTGGACGGTCAAAAGGTTTAACAACTGTAAATAAAAAAATAATAATATGAATAAAATAAGAAGTCCTACTTAAGATTTAGAGGTTAGTAAAAACTTGTTTTAATTGTTTGAAATTACTTGATATCAGCTTAGAACTGAAAGTCCGGCTTTGTTGCTAAATCGAAGTTGTTGCTTTTATATTGCAAGAAATTCTTTTATAACTATATAAACAGTTCTTACTTTTTTGAACCAATAGTCATAGTATACAATCGCCAATGTCAACTACAAAAAAACACTTAATTTCTCATACTTAAAACTAACATTATTTTAATGAACTTTAATTCAATACACGTACAATTTTTCTTTCCAGTAGTCTGTTGTACGACAATATCTACTCTTTGCTTTTCACTTGCCCAATGGGATCACACATTTTCCGCTAAAAGAAAAAAGAAACAGCAACTTAGCATAAATAATTTTCATTTCCTTCGCGATAGACTTGTATTCGGCACGAATTCAAGAAAAATAAGAGAAAAACTCTTCGATGAAGGAGCAAAACCAAGAGAAAATGAGGTAAGAGAAGGAATCCCTGGTACTGCGTTCTTAACCCATCATATCAGCCCTTCGTTCTATTTTTAGAAAAAGAGCTATTTTTAGAAATGGAACACGATTAGTCAGATTGTATGAGGCGAGATCGCTCAGCCGTTTGTGGTAAGACGCGAGAAAATAATTCAAAATGGAGGTCGAGAGAGAGATTACATGAGATTACTTTTGTGAACGAAAACGATTTGATATTAAGCGGTAAAGTGTCGGGCAGGGTCACAAAGATACTGATACGTCTGAAGTTGAAGACACCAATGAATCATGTGAAAGTGATGTGTTTTCGTCGAGTGATGTGTCTTCGAGTGAAGTCGTAGAAGAAGAAGAAGGAGAAGAAGAAGAAGAAGAAGACGACGACGACGATCTAATTTCATGTCACATTACCTTCAGAAGCTGATTCTTCTTCGACATTTTCAAGTTTTCTTTTTTGAAGAAGAAGATTCCTTTTCTTCTTCAAGAAGTTTCCTTTTTAAAAGCGAATTTCGTATCTTTTTTCAAACAGTATTTGACACTCAGTTTTTGGCGATGAAAAATAGCCGATATCAATCCGATAAACGAGTAGTGGTCGCGCGGGCTTGGTAACAAACTAAAAATAGCTCTTTTTCTAAAAATAGAACGAAAGGCTGATATGATGGGTAACAGGGATCCCTTCTCTTACCTCATTTTGTCTTGGCAAAACTTAATAAAAAAAAACATTCAAACAAAAAGCATTCACTCTCGCTAGATCACACAAAACATCCCAATCGCTGCTAAACGTCATAAATGTCCCCATAAGCGATGAAAATGTACACATTATTTCTCAATTTAAGAGGAAAATACAACAAAAACATGACGGACCGACACAGGGAATCCAACGACAAGCTTCAAAACCCTCACAGGGTACCCATCGTCAAAATCAAAGTCAAGCGAGTTGCAAGAATTGTGGTCGCCAACAGAGTATATCTGATACATTCCTATCCAAGGAACAAATCTGTTATTTCTACAAGAAAAAAAGACACTACATTCATGTATACAGGAAAAGAATGGGATCACAACAGAAAATCCACGACATCCAGAACACTTCCCCATCACTAGGAAAACACTTTCAAACACTCTCAATGCAGTCCGTCAATATTAACATAGCCGGAAGACAGAAAGATAAGACAACTCTGA